TCAAATTCTTGATAAAAACACATCAAACCCTGGCCAGAGCTAAATTCAGCGGTTTGGACCCCGACCTAAATAATTGCCGAAATTCAGGGATTAGAACTAGAGGATTGATTACCTCGCTGCAGGAAGCTCGTATATGAAATTTGGGCTCAATCCGGCTTCCGGATAATCCGAAACCCTAATTTGGCTTATCGGGAATTCAAGAAATTCTTGAACCAAAAACTCGTTTTAAAGCTCTAAATCGATAAATCACGATGTATAGATGAATTAGGCATTACTTACGGGATTTTTGGATCACTAGAGCTCAAGATTCGAGCTTTGGAAATTCTCCCCGAGCTCCCCTGTACGCTCTCTGCCTCTCGGTTTCCTCTCGGTTCATAAATGGGGAAAAAGATGATGATGGGAAAAAGAATGGCCCGGAGAGTTTATATATATATATAACTCGCCTCCTGATGCAATTGTATATATATAATATTTTATATATATATAATTAATACGTATACTTATCCGATCGATCGATAATCCGATTTTCGTCGAAATACTATCAAAACACTCGATTTTAAATCGCGAACTTTCTAGCGATCGAAATATGGATTTAGCCGAAATGAGATGTTACAACTTTCATCCTATTACTTTATTCCAATGTTAACTCATAGAAGTTCTCAACTTTTATCCTTAAATCATAGAAGTTCTCTACTTCTATCCTTAACTAATAGACATCAATACCAGGGACCACCGCGTTACGTATCGCCGTCCGGTGTCCCTATCCTCAAGGCAATGGTACTGCGTTACGTATCGCCGTCCAGTCCATGCCCGGTCAACTACTGCGTTACGTATCGCCGTCCAGTAGTGACCCGACCATCTACCGCGTCCAGTAGTGGCCCAACCGCCCGGGGATTCAATTACCATCAACCACACACATTCACATACATAGCACAACGCGTGCCTCCACCTTAAGTAGGCGGTGGGATGCCTCACACACATAATCGCGCTTACTTGAAAATAACAAATATAACTGAATTAAAAGAAATAAACTAAAAGACCTCGACGAAGATTTTACCCCCTTTACACTCACCTTAGTAATCAATTGTTGAAACCGTGGATCACCCCTGATGCTATGCTTCCAGGCGAGCATTGCTAGTCCCAATCACAAGAAGACAATGAACTTGGTCCATTTAATTCCTTTCTTTACCACATTCAACCTCGACTTTCTTCTTTCTTTGAGCATTGTGTGCACCCCTTCAAGCTATGCACAAACACATCGGTCATCAATTAACCACTTGGACTCTCGGCATACATCGGTTTCAAAACCACCAAGCCTAAACATCATACCCGCCGCCAAAGTTCCAGTTCACCTCACCCAAAGGATTAGTCCCATTATACTGCTCACTTGCATACTAGAATGCTACTAAATCCTTAAGCAATTTATTTATGATTTTCCTTTAACCCCATCCACGAATTCCCTCTGCTAATTGAGCCACCCAATCATCTCCTGCACTTCCTAGTTCCTTGCATTCACATGACCAATGCATTCCCCAATTGGCCCACAAATTCAATTCCACTTTCCATATCCCTCAACGTCATTAGATGTAATTTTCATAAACCTTCTCGCTCAACAAACAGATGTCTAAAAATGCCTAACTCAAATCCGCCTTCCATTCCCGTATAGTTATGTCATGATAATTCCATAAATTTCAATTGTTGTTATTATACATATACACGTACAATCCCAACTTCAGAGACATCACCCAATGATTATTCACCAACCTTGTCCTGTTAATTACTTCAATTATCCATGTTTCACCCAGCAAAACCATAATCGATGAAAGCCTACAGAGGTTCAGCCCTTACCTCAACCGTCGATTCATTAAAAGCTCCACGATTGCCCTCTATCCGCTCAGAGCTCGTCATAGCCATCAACTCTGTCTTGTCATCATCGTTCATATAGTTGGTTCCAGCCAACCTTATTGCCCCGCTACGCCTCGCTGAGTCACCATCATCATCACCACTGCATCTCATCATCGATCTTGGATCCTAGGTGACGATCCGCCCTCTGTCCAGCCTGCCGTTCCCGGTTGTGGGCTTGTGGTCGAGTCTTCTGCTTCACGTCATCTCTCTTGTTCGCGGTGATAGCGATGGGTTACCGGACCAGATTTTCTTGGAAAACAACAAGGATGAACCCACCATCCAAATCCTCCATCACGATCCTTTTAGTTTCGGAGCTTTCCATTTTCTCTCATTTTCATTCCTCGGGAAATCGACACTGTTAGGGATGGGGGACTGTTACAGATTGGCGGAGACGAGTGGGGAAGCTGATGGGTTTTTTTTTTGGCATCTCTCGGTGGTCTAATTATAAATGGACACCTTGATTGGGAGAAGAGTCGTGGGGACTAGGGAATAACTAAAAGGGGAAGGTACGTACTGGGAATTGGTAACAGGTGGGGTTTTCTTTTATATTTTTTTTCCGTTTATTTTCTTTTATTTTGCTGCTGGGAAAATGATGCTTATTATTATTATTATCATTATTATCATTCCTCAATTTATGGTTGAACCCTTTGTACGTAATCGTCAAGCGAATCATTTGGTTGACCCTAGACCCAAATGTCGGGGTGTTACATTTTCTCCACCCTTATAAAAATTTCGTCCCCGAAATTTGCTCGGAACCCATCTTTCTGTCAACACCCTTTTTATAATTCCTTCCCATGATCATCTATTCTTACTATAACAACTTCGTTGGTACCTTTTGCTCAAATAAGTTTCCTTAGCTTGCAGCACTCGTGTAACCATAAGTGTCTCACTGCCCTTTTTACTTCCCTGCTTGATCCAAACCTGGTGAAACAAAATGCCAATTCGGCTTGTCATGTTGATCCAATTCTCCTGGTCGTTGATGTTGAACCTAAATCCAAAATCGAGACATCACATTTCCCCCCTCCTTAAGAAAAATTTCGACCTCGAAATTTGTTCGTTGTGACGACTCCAAGTTTCACGTGTGATAATCTCTTTGCAAGGAGTTGTACCTCCTTCTAGCCTTGATGTATTGATCCCCTGACATCTTTTTAGGATCCCCATGATATACTCAGTCCTTCCTTTGCTTCCTTAGGTGGCCCTAGTAGTTTTCAAAGTCCAACTTTCAGCTGCTTCTTGGGGTTGTATCCCTATGTTCAACTCTCCTGAACTCCATGACCCTTCCTTGCACCCTTTCCTCTCGATTATGGCGCCATTTGCCATAACTCCTTGGCTCTACCCGTTGATGTACTAACTGCTTGGCTCCTTCCAGAACCTTATTCTGATCAGCTCACACCCCCATAGAATATGAGCTACCTTGACCCTAAGGTTCTCCCTTCGACTATTCTTGACGACCTTGATTCCACCTTGAAATTGACCGAGATTTCTTGATGGACTTCCTCTGGATCCCTTGTTCTCAGCTAGTAGTCCACCTAATGCTTTTTGTAGTCTTTTGTATTCCTGTTTTGACCATTCCTAACTATTTTCCTCCACACACACTCCTTGAACTCGAGTCGCTTACACATATTCCCACTCCTTTATCAAGAACTTCCGTGTCCTTCTTGGACTTTATACAATCTATGACATCTCTAATGCCATTTCACAGTCATGGCATTTCGGCTTCCCAAAGTCCAATACTACTTCTAGATTGCTAGTCAATCATTAAGCGATTTTAGCAATAAAGTCTCACAAAAAAAAAAAAAAACTTGCACATCCCACCTGACACTTGACCAATTGACTTCTTGAAATCTCGTCAAAGTTCCTCTAGCCTTCTTGCTCTTTCCTGGTATTGCACGCAAATTCTCTTTATCACTCCTGCTGAGACTCCTCGAATTCTCTGACATTTATTAGAACTTCCAATGCACATTCTTCTTTCTTGTCTAAACTTGGTTGGTTGAATGGTGTACTTCTATAGCTAGTTCCAAAACTCTAGCTCTTAGCTCCCCCTAGTTCCAACTAATTACAAGGGTTCCTTCTTCTGTGACCCCTCCTTAAGAGAAATTTCGATCTCAAAATTTGTCCATCGTGACTTCCCCAAGCCTCGTTCCTTACCTCGTCTATCTCGTTGAATAACTCCTCCTTCCCAACACTTGTCGCCGAACTCCTTGAAGACTTGGAACTCCTCTTAACACTCATGTCAAAGTTAGCACTAAACGAACCTCTTAGGAACCTGCTATTTCCCCTTCCTGACACATCTCACTACCATGTTGGCCTAAAAGAGTTATCTCCTAATCATGATTAGAGTATACTGGAGATTCTAAAAATCCTTAAAAGACCCTTGACTCGTTTGGCCAAACCTTAAACCTGACACCCCTTTTTCCTTTTCTTTAAAATGGAAACCTTGAAAACTCAGATCGTCACTCCAGTATTCCTTGGAGACCAAGAAACAGAGGAGTGCAGGCTCTGATACCAAAATGAAACGTCCCGACCTTTTTCGAAAATCAACCCACAACTCAAACCCAAAACCGGTTACTCCGGAGCAACCCAAACCACTTTTAAAATAACAAACTGACTTTATTTAATAATTTTAAATCAAAAAGCCCCAACACTTGGCAAAACCTCAATCTCAAATACTTAAAACAACTTAACACATAATCTTGAACTTTGAATCTCCAGTACATATACTCATAACCATAAACATAAAACAACTATCAAACTTTAACTATACTCTTCACCCAGCTCCTTGACATCTCATCATCGGTACCGGCACGACCGCTTGCCTCATCTTACTTCTTCTGAGGATCCTCTTCCGCTAACCCATCCTCAACCTGGTGAGTGAGAAGGGGTCAGTCTCGTCGTTACTTCCTAAGGTCTTGTCCTAAGCAACCTCCTTACTAAAAATACGTTATTAACGGGTTTTCTGCCTTAGACCAAAGTCGTTCTCACTTTCATCCTATTACTTTATTCCAATGTTAACTCATAGAAGTTCTCAACTTTTATCCTTAAATCATAGAAGTTCTCTACTTCTATCCTTAACTAATAGACATCAATACCAGGGACCACCGCGTTACGTATCGCCGTCCGGTGTCCCTATCCTCAAGGCAATGGTACTGCGTTACGTATCGCCGTCCAGTCCATGCCCGGTCAACTAATGCGTTACGTATCGCCGTCCAGTAGTGACCCGACCATCTACCGCGTCAAGTAGTGGCTCAACCGCCCGGGGGTTCAATTACCATCAACCACACACATTCACATACATAGCACAACGCGTGCCTCCACCTTAAGTAGGCGGTGACATGCCTCACACACATAATCGCGCTTACTTGAAAATAACAAATATAACTGAATTAAAAGACATAAACTAAAAGACCTCGACGGAGATTTTACCTCCTTTACACTCATCTTAGTAATCAATTGTTGAAACCGTGGATCACCCCTGATGCTATGCTTCCAGGCGAGCATTGCTAGTCCCAATCACAAGAAGACAATGAACTTGGTCCATTTAATTCCTTCCTTTACCACATTCAACCTCGACTGTCTTCTTTCTTTGAGCATTGTGTGCACCCCTTCAAGCTATGCACAAACACATCGGTCATCAATTAACCACTTGGACTCTCGGCATACATCGGTTTCAAAACCACCAAGTCTAAACATCATACCCGCCGCCAAAGTTCCAGTTCACCTCACCCAAAGGATTAGTCCCATTATACTGCTCACTTGCATACTAGAATGCTACTAAATCCTTAAGCAATTTATTTATGATTTTCCTTTAACCCCATCCACGAATTCCCTCTGCTAATTGAGCCACCCAATCATCTCCTGCACTTCCTAGTTCCTTGCATTCACATGACCAATGCATTCCCCAATTGGCCCACAAATTCAATTCCACTTTCCATATCCCTCAACGTCATTAGATGTAATTTTCATAAACCTTCTCGCTCAACAAACAGATGTCTAAAAATGCCTAACTCAAATCCGCCTTCCATTCCCGTATAGTTATGTCATGATAATTCCATAAATTTCAATTGTTGTTATTATACATATACACGTACAATCCCAACTTCAGAGACATCACCCAATGATTATTCACCAACCTTGTCCTGTTAATTACTTCAATTATCCATGTTTCACCCAGCAAAACCATAATCGATGAAAGCCTACAGAGGTTCAGCCCTTACCTCAACCGTCGATTCATTAAAAGCTCCACGATTGCCCTCTGTCCGCTCAGAGCTCGTCATAGCCATCAACTCTGTCTTGTCATCATCGTTCATATAGTTGGTTCCAGCCAACCTTATTGTCCCGCTACGCCTCGCTGAGTCACCATCATCATCACCACTGCATCTCATCATCGATCTTGGATCCTAGGTGACGATCCGCCCTCTGTCCAGCCTGCCGTTCCCGGTTGTGGGCTTGTGGTCGAGTCTTCTGCTTCACGTCATCTCTCTTGTTCGCGGTGATAGCGATGGGTTACCGGACCAGATTTTCTTGGAAAACAACAAGGATGAACCAACCATCCAAATCCTCCATCACGATCCTTTTAGTTTCGGAGCTTTTCATCTTCTCTCATTTTCTTTCCTCGGGAAATCGATCACTGTTAGGGATGGGGGACTGTTACAGATTGGCGGAGACGAGTGGGGAAGCTGATGGGTTTTTTTTGGCATCTCTCGGTGGTCTAATTATAAATGGACACCTTGATTGGGAGAAGAGTCGTGGGGACTGGGGAATAACTAAAAGGGGAAGGTACGTACTGGGAATTGGTAACGGGTGGGGTTTTCTTTTATATTTTTTTTTTCCGTTTATTTTCTTTTATTTTGCTGCTGGGAAAATGATGCTTATTATTATTATTATTATTATCATTATTATCATTCCTCAATTTATGGTTGAACCCTTTGTACGTAATCGTCAAGCGAATCATTTGGTTGACCCTAGACCCAAATGTCGGGGTGTTACAACGAGCACGGGCTCCTTCATCACCTCTGCCTTCAAGACCTCGAATGCTTCTTGGCACCTTTCCGACCAATCCCACGCCTTGTTCTTCTTCAAGAGATCCGTCAAGGGTGCTGCAATGTTGGAGTAGCCCATGATAAACCTCCGATAGTAGTTGGCAAGGCCGAGGAATGACCGCAACTCTGGCACCTTCGTCGGCGGCTCCCATTCTTGGATTGCCTGCACGTTCGCTCCATCCATCTTCAACTTGCCTCCACCAATGATGTGTCCCAAGAATGGAACCTCCGTGGCGGCAAATGTGCACTTCTCCCTCTTGACGTACAACTCGTTGTCGCGAAGGAATTGGAAGACTTGACGTAGATGCTCTGCATGCTCATCGAGTGTTTTGCTATACACGACGATGTCATCCAAGTAGACCACGACAAACCGGTCCAAGAATGGCTCGAACACTTGATTCATCAAAGTGCAAAACGTGGCTGGTGCGTTGGTGAGACCGAATGGCATCACAAGAAACTCGTAAGAGCCATACCTCGTCACACAAGCCGTCTTTGGCTGGTCGCCCTCTGCTATCCGCACTTGATAGTAACCCGAGCGAAGATCAAGCTTGGTGAACCACATCGCATCTTCAAGTTGGTCGAACAAGTCGGCAATGTTGGGAATCGGCCACTTGTTCTTCACCGTCAACTTGTTGATGGCTCTATAGTCGATGCACATGCGCAACGACCCTTCCTTCTTCTTTTGGAACAGCACCGGTGCTCCAAAAGGTGACTTCGATGGCCGCATGTAGCCTGCATCCACCAAGTCCTTGAGCTTCCTCCGCAATTCTTCTAACTCTAGTGGCGACATGCGGTATGGTGCTCGCGAAGGGGGCTTCGCTCCTGGCTCCAACTCGATCTTGTGGTCCACCTCTCTTCTTGGTGGCAGCTTCTTGGGCAACTCTGATGGCATCACGTCATCGAACTCTTCGAGGACGCCTTCGATGATGGGAGTTGTGATTCCCATTGAGCCTCATTCTTTCTCCATTTTCAAGGACACAAGAAAGGTTGGTTCATTCTTCTTGAACCCCTTCAATACCTGCATGGCCGATAGAGCACTATGGGGGCCATCTTCTCTCAAGAGATGGACCGCATGGAACTCCCCCTCCTTCTCCAAGCACATCGTGTTGGAGTTGGGCTTCAAGAGCACTCCCTCCTTGTCGAGGAATTTGATGCCGAGGATGACTGGGTGATCGTCCATGGTGACGATGCATAAGTCGATGAGGCCTTCCCACTCGCCAAGCTTCACTAGCACGTTGTGAGCAACTCCATGGATTGGGATCGACTCCGAGTTGATCGTCTTGAGCCTCCCTTTCCCTTTCTCGTAGGCAATACCCAGCCGATTTGCCTCCTCGATGCGAAGGAAGTTGTCCGTGGCACCGGTATCCACCAAGGCTTTTGACTCGCCTTGCATGAATTGCACCAGAACATAGCACCTCCCACGCTTGCTCTCCTTGGCGTCGGTCTTCACCGCGCCAAGCTTGCGGATTGAGCCAATCTTGGCCTCTGCCACCTTGGGCTCCTCTTCTTGAGCTTCTATGGCCGCCAATCTCGCCCTTCTTGGGCAATCCCGCACTCGATGTGGTCCGTCGCAAAGGAAGCAAGACACGGGCTTTGGTTCGTATTACCTCCTTTGCTCGACCCACCTTGGTGTTGTTGAGTGCGAGGACCCTCCTTGAAAGGCTTCTGCTGTTCTCCACCCTTGTTGGGCTTTGAACTCTTCTCTTTGCCGCTGCTCTCTTGCCTTTTGTACTCAACAAAAGACTCTGCCGTGGCCATGGCATTTGCAAGGTCTTGCACTCCTCGACGTTGCATCTCCATCTTGGCCCATGGTTGCAGCCCATCAAGAAAGCTGTGCATGGCCTCCTTGTCTGTGATGTCCGGGATCTCTAGAAGCAGATCCGAGAATTCTTTCACATATTCTCGAACTCCACCCCTCTGGGTGAGTCTTCTCAACTTCGAACGGGCTTCAAACTCCATGTTCTCCGGGTAGAACTGCTTCTTGATTTCTCTCTTGAAATCTTCCCATGTTACTGTAACACCCTACCCTATATGTATTACCTAATCATATTGTTCATACAATTGCAGCGGAAATAATCTCGGGTGTTACATTAATTATCAAAATTTACCCAAATAAAATTTCGACATGAATTACTCGCGTAATGGGCTAACAGTTCTTCCATCTGATCCTGCAAAATAATTCATTTAAATCCATGCATTCATAGACAAACATATACACTCACTGTCATATGCATTGGTTTTTCATAGCCATAGTCACAGTTTCATGTTACACAACTGCATACTATACTGATACATGCCATAATCGTCACAACTTACATAATTACACAAATATACACATATCATCAACTTTCCACACATGTGGATATCTCACACTACATCAGAAGCTAGTATGCACATGAAAAACGTTCTCAAAACATTTTACAAAAAGGTGTGGATCACTGGCCAAAATCCCGAGTAGTAGTCCAAGCACAGAATAGTTGAAGACCATACCTCATCTTGCCTTCAACTCTTGCTCAGCTCCCACCTATACAACTATCTACTGCTGCTGATGACGATGATCTGCTTACACATGGCATAAGCAGAGAAAAAGGATAAAGAGGGTCAGCTTATAGCTGAGTGAGATAATCATAGCATCGTGAGTTCATAACAGAGCATACCTCTACCATACATATAGCAAATAAGCCAAAGCACTAGGATCAGACCTCAGCCATCCGACATCTCAATAGGCAAAAGACTCAACCACATTGACTTATGCATATGCATCTTATCATGTTTTACTTATAGGCGCCTGGCTACTCCCATGCTATTAACTCTCCCGGGAAACATACCCCACATCCCGTCGGATGTAGTCATACATACCCCAACATCCCGTCGGATGTGGTCATACATACCCCACACCACTATGGGTGTAGTCATACCCCGACACCACTCTGGGTGTGGTCATATCTCGTAAGAAATCTTCAGTCACCACCACATGAGAGGTGTGACTATCATACATATCATAATAGAGTAATAGCATAGGGAGCCCTAATTACTATGTAGTTGACCGTGAGACCACAACACTCATATTTGGTATCCTTATACATGATTCATATCTCATCTTGCTTAATCATAAATCATTACTTGCACATGTACTTGACCTGGCCATAATTGGCTCAACATAGGTAAACCAGGAGTCGTATAATTGCACTTCCTCGGGATAAACCCTCGTGCAAATCATCCTCCTTAAACATCATAATATCACCAGGAGATATATATTTTTCCCACTTGTACATCCAAATACATCAATCATGAAATGTCATACCCAATCACCTTTTCGAATCATCAGAAGACATATCAACAGTCAAGCCCACAATTTGCAACATATACGAAATCATCAGCATA